CTTTGAGAGGCCAGGGCAGGCAGATTGCTTGAGTCAACAAGTTTAAGACCAGCTTGGGCAACATAGCAAAATCCCATCTCTACTAAAAATGCAAAAATTAGCCAGTGTGGTGGTGCATGCCTTTAGTCCCACTTAGGAGGCTGGGGTGGGAGGATCCCTTGAGTCCAGGAATTCGTGGCTGCAGTGAGCTGTGATCATGCCATTGCACTCCAGCCTGGGCGACAGAGTGAGATCCTGTATCTGTAAAATAAATAATGTGGCTGGGCACAGTGGCTCACGTGTGTAATCCCAGCACTTTGGGAGGCTGAGGTGGGCAGATCATGAGGTCAAGAGATCAAAACCACACTGGCCAACATGGTGAAACCCCGTTGCGTTGTCTCTACTAAAAATACAAAAATTAGCTGGGCATGGTGGCACATGCCTGTAATCCCAGCTACTCGGGAGGCTGAGGCAGGAGAATCGCTTGAACCTGGAAGGTGGAGGTTGCAGTGAGCTGAGATCGTGCTGCTGCACTCCAGTCTGGCGACAGAGCGAGACTCCGTTTCAAAAAAATAAAAATAAATAAAAATAAATAAAAAAATAAAAAGAATGAAACAAAAGAAGCCACCATAATACAAGAACATCAACAGTGATAACAGAAATTGACAAGAATATTAGAGGCAGTATAGATATATCTTAATAATACTGGGATGGCAAAATCCTTTCAAATCAAGATTATTAAAAAAAAAAAAAAAACACCCAGAAGCCGTAAAGGGAAAGGCGGATAGATTTGCACACAGAAAATGTAAAATTCTTTATATGAGAAAAGAATCCCCAACAGAGTGTATTTGCTTGCTAGGCTCCCGTAACAGAACACAACAGACTGGGTGACAAACAGCAGAAATTTGAATTCTCACAATTCTGGAGGCTGGAATATTGGAGTTGGAAAGTTAGTTTCTTCTGAGGCCTCTCTCCTTGGTTTGCAGACAGCTCTCTCTCCCTGTGTCTTCACATGGTTTTCCCTCTGTGTACATCCTAATCTCTTATAAGGATAACCATCATATTTTACCCATATGACTTTGTTTAAAAAATTTTTCATGCCTGTAATCCCAGCACTTTGGGAGGCCGAGATGGGTGGATCACGAGGTCAGGAGATCAAGACCATCCTAGCCAACACGGTGAAACCCTGTCTTTACTAAAAATACAAAAATTAGTTGGGTGTGGCAGTGCGCATCTGTAGTCCCAGCCACTTGGGAAGCTGAGGCAGGAGAATTACTTGAACCTGGGAGATGGAGGTTGCAGCGAGCCGAGATCACACCACTGCACTCCAGCCTGGACGACAGAGGGAGACTCCATCTGAAATAAATAAATAAATAAATAACTTAAAAAAATTTATTTAGTTATTATAAGCTCTGGAATACACATGCAGAATGTGCAGGGTTGTTACACAGGTATACATGTGCCATGGTGGTTTGCTGCACCTGTCAACCTGTCATCTAGTTTTTAAGCTCCACATACCTTAGGTATTTGCCATATGACCTCATTTTAAATTAATCACCTCTTTAAAGATCCTGTCTCCAAGGCCAGGTGTGGTGGCTCATGTCTGTAGTCCCAGCACTTCGGGAGGCTGAGGTGGGACTTGATCACAGGAGTTTGAGACCAGCCTCGGCAACATAGTGAGACTGTGTCCCTACAAAAAATACAAAAACGAGTTGGGTGTGATGGTGTGCACCTGTGGTCCCAGTTACTAGGGATGCTGAGGTGAGAGGATTGCTTGAGCCTGGGATGTCAAGGCTGCAGTGAGATGTGACTGCACCACTACACTCCAGCCTGGGTGACAGGGCATGCCCTCATCTCAAAAACAAACAAAGAAACAAACACACAAACAAACAAGCATCCTGTTTCCTTAGCTCAACATAAAAGGCCTTGATTCCTTGCATGACCTGAGTTCCAAGGAATGGGGCAGGGTACAGGTGTTCTTCATAGGTATGGCATCAACATCCAGGCTGGCCATTCCATGGCTAAGAACACTGAACAAACACTCACCAAAGATCACAGGATCATTCTCAGGGTGTGCTTGAGTTCTTGCCAGCCGGTAATAAGACATGCCTACTGCAGAGAGAACACAACTCAGTTCGTAACACAGAACAAGTACCGTATGAGGAGCCTGGGATCATATTTGCAAATATGGGTCTAAGGGTTCCAATTCCCTTGACCCTGCCTGTTGCTTGGATGGCCTTGCCACCTCTGTTGTCTCCATTCCTCCTAAGCTGCTAGGATTCTGTGATATCCTCACCCCCCAGTCCATCTGCAATCACATTCTTTCTTTAGACCTATTCCCATTTCCAGTTAAGTTACCATCAGGTCCTGGGGCTTAGAGTCTTCTCTGGGAATTTTGCTGATCTCTGTACTAATCCATATGAGATACAGTTCAGGTTTAATTGTTAGTTGCCCATCTTAAAGAACACTCCCCCACCAAAAAAAAAAAAAGCCACCCTTTACTATGGAAGTAACACTGAGCTCATTGTAAAAGAGAAAAGACAACTAACAAATAAATGCAAATAAAATGAAGACTCTCTCCATGGCTCATCATCCTCCTTCTCGCACTGCCAACTTCATTCACCAGATGGGAGCCACTGCTTCGAGCCGTCTGTGTTTCCTCCCCTTTGTGTGATTAATACAGCAGATTAAGATGTGGCCACTGATGAAGTACGATGATACTGATGAGACATTGTCTATCATGAACACGGCTGCTGCTCCCTGTGCTTAACATACCATGCTGACTCACCACCTACTAGACTAGTTGGTGTGTTTAATCCTCCCAAGATCCTATGACATAGTCCTGTTGTTTCCTCATTTTTTAGATGAAAAAATTGTGATTTAGAGATGATGTATAACTTACCCACAGTCGCAGAGCTGGGAGGTACTTAAGCCATCCTGGTTAACTTAAGAGCCTGCATGGATTTTGTCTCCTTGTTTGTTTTATGTTGATGGCTTTGTTTACTTGTTTGCTTGTTTCCTTTGCTTTGTTTCCTTGTCATGAGATACTGAACGCTTTTCGCTGACCCAGCAGAGACGTCTAGCTCGTTATTTGGTAATATCTACATTGTATTTTTCCATGGGGATGGATCATGCTTTGCTTAACCACTTCTCTCCTGATGGCCATCTCTGTGGTTTCCATCCTTTTACAAGCAAGGCTGCAGAAAGCATTCTTGTGCTCTGGAAATGTTTGTATAGAAAATGGAAGGAAGAGTGCACTTTAAAATTTTGGATACATTTTGGTAAGTGGTCAGAAGACAATCTTATTTCTAAGTTCTTGGGACTTATTTCTAAGTCCTCCATGTATTCCCTGTGTCCCGATAGATATAGATTTAGTAAAACTCCCCTTTTGTGCCCCAGGCACCTACTGGCCCTGGATAAAAGCTTTTAATAATAAGGATGGTGATTCCATATACAATTACCATGAGATGAAAGAAAATATGTGGTTTGAATGTGCTTACTGCTCTTGGATGCTATTATTTAGAGTTTAGTTTCTGTTATCAAAATAATACTCAATGCTCCTTTCTCTTCTGCATGAAAGGGGATAAAAAGTAAATATTTCTCTCTCTGAACTGCTGCAGAATCATTTTTCTATAAGACTTGAGGACTCACTGTGAGGCCAAAGATTCCTTTTTTAAACTTTTCCCAAGTGAGTTGGAGCTGAGTGACAGGATGGCTTGAGCTCTGAAGCAAGATTAAGTTTCTGAAGCAGTGGTTAGTGACAGATTGGGGATGCTCTTGGCATGTCAGGTATGACAAAGCCAGAGTCCTTCTGTCCATGACTTGCCCTATGGAGGATTCTGCGGGCAGGAGACTGCCTTGGAGCTTCCTGAGAAGTCCAGCCTGGCACCTGTCAGCATCTTGCATCTATCCAGAGAGCAATTCCCCCTATAGTCGTAGGAGAGTGACAATGTGAAGGACCTCTCAAAGCTACTCTCCAGTCGTGGCAGAGAAAGAGGTCAGGGGGATCTTGAGCAAGACCAGAACTGAACAGCTTTCCTGTGAAGCATGGTCCTGTGGATTAAGAAGGTGCACATTTGGTGTGGCCATGGAAGTGGTTTTCCTTAAAATTCAACAAATACGTTTCCATGCCGCCTACTGTGACAAGATGAGTTGCTGTGGATGGTGCTTCTGCAGACCTATTTTCCCATATCATCTTTTATGGAGATACTCCTTGACATAAAATGCCCAGTGTTCACAGAAGGATTCCCTTGTCACTGTCTTGTTGAGACAGAGGTTGCTTCTTGTGTCTCCATTTTTCTTGGACACGTGACAGTCTGAAATAAAGACGACTTTTTTTCAGCCTGCTTTCTGGCTGATGTGGCTACATGAGCTTAAGTTTGGACCAATGGGATTTGAGAGTAGATGCTGTGCGCAACTTCTGTGAAACACCCTTATGAGGAAGCTCCCTCTTTGCTGTTGGCGAAAGGGACAATGTGTTAGTTGAAGCTTGAATGGTTGTTAGGTGCTATGTAGAAAAGACCTGACTTGAAATGCTGAGGCAACCAGATAAAAAGAGCCCAGTGAGAGTTCTTTGCCTAAGACAGGTATACATTTCTGTTTTGCTTAGGCAGTATCATTTTGGGGTTTCAGTTGCTCTTATCTAAACTTAATTATAATGGATATATTTGCCTTCTATGTTCCAGGCACTCGTGCTAAGGGTTTTAGGTAAAACATCTTATGAAGCCCTCGTAAGAAACTTTGCTGTTAATTGACATTTTACAGATAAGGAAACTTAAAGTAAGGGAATTAGGCCAGGCACAGTGGCTCACGGCTCTAATCCCAGCACTTTGGGAGGCTGAGGCAGGTGGATCACCTAAGATCAGGAGTTTGAGGCCAGCCTGGCCAACATGGTGAAACCCCATCTGTACTAAAAATACAGAAATCAGCTGGGCATGATGGTGCACACCTGTAATCCCAGCTACTCAGGAGGCTGAGGCAGGAGAATTGCTTGAACTCTGGAGGCACAGGTTGCAGTGAGCTGAGATCAGGCCATTGCACTCCAGCCTGGGCAACAAGAGCAAAACTCTGTCTTAAAAAAAAAAGTTGGTGGGGAAGGGAGGAATTACAAGTGAATTGTCCAGAGTGATACACACAAATCAACTGAAAAAAGAGATACCTTGACTGACATTAGATTTGGCCCCAGAATCTGTAATTTTAATCTCCGTGCCTTCCAGAAATTATTCAGATACTTATTTCTTAACCTACATTGAGTGCTTTGCAATGTGCTTTGCAATGTTTGAGGCACTGTGGTGCGTGCTAGAGAGAAAAGGGTACGCACAAGCAATGGATTCTTGCTCTTGTGGCATTTGCCCTCCAGTAGAGAAGAAAGATATAATCAATTAAAGTAAATAAGGTTAAAATTGCAAGCATAATGACTACTCTGAAGGAACAATACCCAGTACTGTATGATAATATAATTAAGTTGGCAATTTGAGCATATTTAGTGAGAGATCTAACCTACTGGAGGGCTGGGGAGATTCCTCTGAGTAAGTGGCATTTGAGATGAGACCCGAAAGATGAGTAGAAGGTAAAGGGGTGTGTGTGTGTGTGCGCGCGCGCGCGTGCGGCAATCCAAGCAGAGGAAATAGCATGTGCAAAAACTTCACAGTGGGAAGGTGCGTTGCATGCTGTAAAAGCTAAAGGCCCAGAATGTTGGAGCTCAGGGAGACGGGGAGAGGCATGACTTAGGATGAAGCTGGAGAGGAAAGACATGCAAGGACTTGTAGGCCATGTTGAAGAGTTAGGCTTTTGTCCTAGGAAAGATGGAGAACCGTAATGGTTTTAGCAGAGGGGTGACATGTTCATGCGTATTCTTTGAAATGATCAGCCTAGTTACTACGTGGGGAATGAGTTGGAGGGACAAGAGTACGTAACTCTAGGAAGTTCTTACAGTAGTCCAGGAAAAAACATTTCTGTGGCTTAGATTAGAGAGATGGCAGTGATGATGGAATGAAGTGACTGACTCTGAATAATATTTGGGAGGTAAAATTGAATGGATATGTCATTGGCTTGCCTTTGAGAGGTGACAGAGAGGAAAGTCAGCAGGAACTCCTAGGTTTCTGGCTGGCTTGTGTAACAGAATGAGAGAATGATGGTTTTATCCACCAAGACAAACCGTAAGGACAGGAGCAGGGTTGGGGTTAGAGGAGCTTTGCTCACTTAATCTGTTCAGCACAGCCTATATACCCACTTCCTTTGAAGAACTGTTAATCCAATCATCTGGTTTTTGGTTAGATTTACCTTCAGAAAGCCCTGCTGACCTAGCTGTAGTATAGTGTGCTTCAGTGTGGTGACGCTGTTGGTACAGGCAGTGGCTCAGTGACCCAGGCTTGTACAATGAGATTCCTTTTCATGAATGTTTAAGGTTGGAAGTGAAAATGAAGGAGACTTACCTTAAGAGTCTTGGAGCAGCAAGGATGGGAGGTTGGAGCTGCTTTCTGATCATGTTTCTTACCTATGGAGAAAAGTAGTTTGCCGTAGGAGAGAAAATAGACAGAGGTAAGCAGAAATTGGAGAGAGAAAGAGAGTGAGAGAGAGAGAAAAAAAAATTGACTTTCTTTTGTTATTTAAATCCTAAATCTAGGCATGCTCAACACTAACCCTATCCAAGAAATTCCTAGTTACATAAGCCAATATATTTCCTTTTAAATTTGAACCCAATTTGAGGTGAGTTTCTGATACTTTCTTCTGAGCTTCAGTTAGTCAGGTAAGATAACTAGCTTCCAAAAATGTTGAGTTTCAGGTGGTTTTCAGGTAAGATAACTAGCTTCCAAAATGTTGAGTTTCAGGAGGCATCCATGTATAAATATCAAATAGACAGTAGGAAGGATGTATCTCAGCTCAGAGGACAGGGATAGGAGATATAAATTTTGGAATTACCTGCATAAGGGCAATAATTGAAGCCATTGTCCATGGTGATTTTACATAGGGAGCAAGTATATGGTGGTAAGAGAAGAGACTTTAGAACTAGACTTCGAAATTGGAGAATATATAAAGATGAGCTTGTAAAGGAAGCAAAGACATAAGTAGACAATAACAAAGAAGATTCAGTTTTATGGATCTAGGGGTTTTAAAAAGGAGAGAGTGATCAACCATGCTGGATGTCACTAAAAGATCTCCCGCACTGATGTCTGAAAAGTGTCCTCCTGGTTTAGATGTAGCTGGAGAAAGAGTCGACTTTTTAGAGATGTGTCTTAGCAACCTGAGAGCTAGGAGATGCCAAGTGTAATATTAAAGATTTATCTAAGGGTTCAGAAAGATAGAAATGGGTCAGCATTTAGTTTTAGTTCTCAGGAACTTCCTGGGGCAAAGGGAGGGAAACGAATTGCTTGTTTAACAAATATTTAAGGCATTCATTCTTTACCAGGTGTCGTACGAGATGCCAGGGAGATGGTAACTAGCAAGGCACTTTTATCCTTGTGAAACTTGGTCTAAATAAGAAGGACAAACAAGTGACAATCACAATTTAGGTTAATAAATGCAGAGTGTGTCAATTTGAATACTTTTGGCTGTAACCAAGCGGAGACTTAATGAACAGTGACTTAGAACACTTAGATTTCACTTAGCAAGAAATGCAGGTAGATGGTGCTGGGGTAGATTCAGCAGTTTATCAGTATGGGAAGGGAAGGCTGTTTTTATACTTGCATTGGCCACTGTTACCTTTTGGATTTTGAACTATAGTTTGTGGTAGCATGAACTCTAGATGGTAGCTGCAGCCCTGGGCATTATATCCTAGCATGAGAGTATCTGAAGAAAGAGGAGAGGAAAAGTAGCAAAGATTTTTTCTTCAGGCAGGTCTTAACCTTTTATGGGGCAGAGTATTCCTTCAAGAAGACCATACATAGTCTATTTGCTGTACATCCTTCTTCCCACCACTGAATCACATTCATTTATTGTATTATCCATTTATTTTTTAAAAATCTGCTCACCAGACACTGTTGTGTATATGGAGTATACACCAGTGAATAAAACAAACATCCTTCTTAAATAAGTCCATGTAGGAAAATTCTCATTGTAGCGTCTGGCCCATAGTAAAGGTTCTTTCTATGAGTGTTCTACACTATTTCATGGAACTTATATTCTATTGGAAAAGACAGATAGTAAACAGGTAAACAGGTAAGTGTATAATATGTCAGGTGATGATAAATGAAATGCAGAAAAATAAAGCAGAGGAGAGAAAATAATGAGGAATTAAAGAAGGTAGTTGGGGGAAGCTTGTTGGATAGACTGCTGAAGGACATAAGAGAGGAACATCATGTAGAAATCTGGGGAAAGGACATTCCAGCTGAGGTAATAGACTTAATGCCTGGCTGTGATTGGCATGTTTGGGAGGCTGCAAGGAGGTCAATGAGACTGGGACACAGTGAGGAAGCGGGAAAGTTAAGATGTGAAGTCTGCTAGATAGGTAGGAGCCAGATCACATAAGACCTCTAGTGAGATGGGAGCCACTGGTGGGATTGAACAGAAGGTGTGCATGATATGATATATGCATGTGCTTGTTGAGAATCATTTATAGGGAAATGAGAGAATGCAGAGAAACAAATGATAAGGTTACTGCAGGACCCAATGTGAGAGGTGATAGTTGTTTGGACTGGCTGGTAAGCATAGACCTGGTGGGAATGGCCAAGAGTTGGTTCTTCCTGCTCCAATCCTCCAAAGGTAAGTTGCCTTCATTTTCGCCTCCAACCTTAAAAAACCCATGAAAAAGAATCTCATTGTGCAAGCCTGGGTCACTAATCCAATGCCTGCACCAGTCACATCGAAACACTAAAATACAGTGTTTGGGATATATGTGGGAGATAACATGTGGGTTACTGGACAAAATGAGAAGTCATGGATGAATCCAAGATTTATGGCTGGACAGCTGGAAGAATGGAGTTTCTATTTACTGAGGAGGAGCAGCTGGGGGGAAAGATCAGGACTTTCATATTGAACAAGAGATGCCCATTAGACTTCCTGGTGACCAGTTGGATGAATGAGTCTGTCCTATATTGGATCACCCAGTCTTTGGCAAAAAAAGAGCAGACTGTCTTAGTCCAACCATGAGTCTGGGGACACTGTTGCCCAAACAAAAGATGAGTTCTGTTAGCAAGAAGAGGATGTCTGTTAGGTAGGCAGGTAACGGTGCCTGCCACAGTGACCCAAAGGAAATGATACTTCAACTGAGAAGCGAGAGATTTGTAAGAATTAGTCACTTAGACTAAGAGTAAGTGGTGAGGAAAGAGTATTTGGGCACAGGGAACAGAGCATGCAAAGGCTTGGAGGAGGCGAGGATGTGGTACATAAACGTCCTAGGGTGAAATGAAATGATTCTTCTCTTTAAACGTGCCTGCGGTGTGTATTATTACAGGTGGAGGATTGTGGGAGGCGGGAAGAGGTGGGCTCTAACTCCTGTGTAACCTTAGGGATCCCAGGGAACACTCACTTATTTTGAATTGAGGGTTGCCTTGCAGAACTACCTTTAATGGGCTAGTCTTAGCCTTTTTTTTACATTTTTTTTCCCTTTTCATTTTGCCCCCTGACAGCACATGCCTGCATAATAATGAAATACCCTTCTTTCCCACAAAGCAATATTTTTTTTCACAAACTGCATTCAAAGGAATTAACATTCCCAGCTTGTCTGACTCACTTGGCAGGAACACGTTTGTCTGCCCACATGTGGGACGGCCCAGTTGACCACCACACTGAAAACGAAAGCCCGTCAGCATATTTATGCACAGACAGTTCTTGAGAGGCTGTTGACTGGTTGTTTTTCCTTCCATTTTCACAATGACATCTGTTGAATTACACCTGACATTCTGCAATACATGTATGTGGGATACTGCCCAGCACGAGAGGAAAATGAAAGAGAAGCAGGGAAAGAGCCTCATTAGGGGAAGAGAGGGGCAAACTCATTTCCATTTTATAGTTTCTGCCTAAATATTTGTCCTGCAACCTCTCTTCCTGCAAGTGCATTTGTTTCATGATTCAAATGCATATTTATGCCAAAAGTTTCCCTTCTCTGCACAAGACACATAAAGCTGCGAGGAAGACATAGAAGATGTGGGGAGGCTTTTATACGTCTTCCTGCTCATCTGTGATTGGCTTTCTCTAGTGCACCCAATTTTATTCAACTCTAAAAGAAGATTTCGATCCTTTGTTGCCAGTGTTCTGTTTTGGCAGCATGTAGCCCATTCAGGAAGCTTCCGTTTATTAGATAACTGCCTAGAGGAGTCTATTGGGAGTGGGTTGACATACTTAGGGTTTTTCTGAGAATAAAACAACTCAATTAATCCTGTCCTAAAATTAACCAGCTCCCGTATGCACCTTACAGTGCAAATGCTTTTCATGAAAACCTGCAGGCCTCTACCAGGTCTCAGTGGGTACAAACCCCAGAACTGACAGATTTGTCTTCCTGCATATCTTGGAGACTCCATGAGAAGGGTTATCTGGTCTACCAAAGATACCAGGTAACCGATGTATGTTCTCATTTACCATTTTACTAACACCATTTTATTTGTAGAGGCCCAATACACACACTGCCTGACAACCCCACACGTTCCTTTTCTTTTGTTTGATTTTGATTTGCTTTGCATCTACTGGGGAATGATGCTGGCCTTATGAGAACTTACCTTGATTTCTCAGATAATACCTGGCAAGGCATATGGATACAGAGTCACGTGGGGAAGGTCACGATATTTTAACAAGCTACTTCAAGTGGATTTTGGAAGAAAGGATGTGGTACAGTCTGCTGAACATTTTAGGTAGCCTTGGAAACACAGAGCAGTGAGGTATCACAGGCTCTGGAGCCAACTGCTTAGTTGTGGTTTCTGACTGCATGAGCTTCTGCTGGCTATGGGGCCTGAGATGAGTTATTGACCTAGTTTGTGACTCAGTTTGCTTATCTGTAAAATGGGGCTACTAATAGCACAGACTTCATGGGGGTAGCTGTAAGGATTCAATGAGATAGCACATGTGTATTAGTCTGTTTTCATGCTGCTGATAAAGACATACCCAAGAATGGATGATTTATAAAGAAAAAGAGGTTTAATGGACTCATAGTTCTACATGGTTGGGGAGGTCTCACAGTCATGGTAGAAGGAGAAAGGCACGTTTTACATGGCAGAAGACAAGAGAATGAGAAACAAGTAAAAGAGGTTTCCCCTTATAAAACCATCAGATCTTGTGAGACCTATTCACTACCACAAGAACAATATTGGAAAAATCACCCTCATGATTCAGTTATCTCCCACCAGGTCCCTTCCTCAATGAGGGAATTATGGGAGCTACAATTCCTGATCGGATTTGGGTGGGGACACAGCCAAACCATATCAACATGCAAAGCTGTGGAAAATAAATTAGATAAAGGAGGAACATATAGACCTTTTTTTAAAAAAATAAGAAGTCGGCTATCAATAGAAATATAGAGTGTATAGACAAGTTTATTCAGGTGCCCTTGGTAGTTTCTTATTAATCCAGTTATGTTCCTTCAACACGTATGTTTCTTTTCTCAAAAATTCATTGGATTTCAATCAAGCAACCATATTTATATTAGATAAAACCATCATTGGATGGTTGTTTATAACTGTCTGCTAACTCTAGTACTGTTCAGGGTTCTAGGAATACACAAATAAATCATAAGCCATGAAAAAGTGGTACAAATTTGACTGATATACCCTTTGAAAATCACATGTGATCAATGAAGCCATCTTAATTTGGGCCCACATTTTCGCAGTAACATCTGAAAGAATGGATTTGTCCATTTGCCTAACAATTTTTTACCTCTTGTACTCAAAGTTTCACAGATGAAGCTCAGATGCTTTTCTTCTTCAGCCTAGAAGTGATTTACTGCTTTTATTCAGTCATCATACTTTTCTTCCATTATTCTTTGTATTTATGTCTTTGTATTTATGTTCTTTATAGTTATGTCTTATCTGAATGGCAGTAAGTGTGGTTTTAATCCTTCTCACCCACAATTTCCATCAGCAAGCATTCTCTTCTAGTTAGAGCATGATTCCATATCTCCTACTAAATAGAAATCTACCAGCTGCCATTGTCTCCCCCCAAAAGAATATAAACATTTTGAGGCCAGGGTAGTATCTATATTCAAGAAAGATTTGGAAAATAAAGGAGTGGAATTAATAGAGAAGACCCATCTTTTTGTCATTCAACACTGAGCAATTTCAGCAGACACCTGCCACACTGGGGTGAAACAAGTTTAAATAAAGTCACTAATGATTATGTTTCCATACTAAAGCTCCCCTCAACTTTTTTTTTTTTTTTTAATGTAACTCTGTTCGTCTAACAGTGAAGTCATCACCTGAACCTGAAGTAGAGCTAGCTCATAAAATTCCTAATCCAATATTAAAGGAGGTCAGGTCATTGCCCACTTCATTAACTCATTATCAATTAAAATAATGAGTTTGTTGAGTTCTTGGATATTTTAAAATTTAATAACTTTAGAGAGATATTTGGTGGCTGAAATCTCTAGTCCTCATATGAAAGCCTCGTCAAGTTTTTTCACTGCTATTTTTCAAAGACAGGCTTTCCTTTTGTCCCCTGGGGATATTAGGTAGCTTTTTGTACTTTCTTGCCTTTTCTCCCTCTTTTATTTCATTTTCCTCCGTCTTTCATCCCCCTCCCCCTGCCCTCCCTTTTTTTAAATAAAGGCTGGCTGTGGCTCATGCCTGTAATTCCAGCACTTTTCGAGGCTGAGACAGATGGATCACCTGAGGTCAGGAGTTCCAGACCAGCCTGGCCAACGTGGCAAAACCATGTCTCTACTAAAAAATACAAAAATTATCTGGGCACAGTGGCAGGCACCTGTAATCCCAGCTACTTGGGAGGCTGAGGCAGGGGAATCGCTTGAACCTGGGAGGTGGAGGTTGCAGTGAGCAGAGATCATGCCATTGCACTCCAGCCTGGGAGACAGAGGAAGACTTCATCTCAAAAATGAAAAAAAGGAACAGCAGTCACTTGTGTATGTTATTACACCATGATACAGGATACTTTTAATTCTACTACTATTTTGTTTTTCATAGGCACCCTTTTCCGGGAATGCTGCTTCCCTAAACGCATGGGCATGCAGCATTTCTGAAAGATGATTTTTCATAGGAGTGTATCAGAGGATGGAATGGGTTCCTGGTCATCTCATTTATTTATTCTGTCACCATTCACTTGCTCTTAGGAGCCATCTAAAGGTTGTGATTT